GGACAGAAAGCCGGAAAGGGTATGAGGAGAGAGGGGACAGAGAGGGCAGGGGCCGGGGCTGGGGACAGGACAGAACAGAGTGGCAAGCACTAGGGGACAGAGGGACAGGAATGAGGGTCAAGGTTCAGAGGGCTGAAGGAATAGGGGCTGGGAATGTCATCGGAAGCTGGGGACCACAAACTGAGAAGGACCAGAGAACAGGTTGGGGCGCTGGGGACGCAAGAATAAGGGGCTGTAAATGAGCCTTGGGAGCAGGGCGAGGGCTGGCGAGTGGGGAGAGGGGACAGCAGTGGCTGCAGCAGCAGGAGAGGCAGCCTCAGGAGGAGCCGCCTTGTAAGGACCATGGAGCGAGGGCTGGGGGCAGAGAGACTGAGGCAGGGTCTCGTCTGGGTCAAAGCCAGGGTGGCCCTGTCACTCCGGGGCCTGGAGGAGGAGGGTAGGGGCCAGTTAGGAGGTGGGGGTGTATGAGTGTGACCAAAAGGATCCAGGAGGCGACTTCTGGTGGGAGGAGGGACAAGGAGAGCTGAGAGGGAGCAGCCAGGGCTCCCCCACCCCTCAGCCCCACTAGACAGTCCAGGTCCAGCCCACGGTGCCTGCTTCCCTGGCCCCGTCCCCTGTGCTGCACAGCACTGCCCAGGGGACACAGGACCTGGCACTGTCGGAGGGCTGTGGAACTGATGTCTGGGGGCTGGAGCTGGGTTCTGGTCCAGGCAGGACAGACCTCCAGAGCCAGCGCTGCTCGTGGTACACGCTCGGGCCACAGAGCCACTGTCACATGCAGATAGCATACAGAACCCCGCCTGGCCCCGCAGCACGCACGCACATGGACCCTGGCCACAGACACGCACGTGGACAACCCCACACGGGACAGTCCCCTACATGCAGCCTGCGGCCGGTTCACAGGTGCAGACATGTCCACACACGTATACACACGAACATAGGTGACATCTGTGCATGGACATGTCATGAGGAGACCCTCAAATGGCATCCGTGCCCTCTGAAATGCATGTGCACAGACACTGTCACATAGAGAAAGTCCTCGTCCTCTAGGAAGCTGGGTCCAGCAGAGAGCAGGGGCCACTGCAGTAGTCGAGAGGTGAGGGGCCAGGCCAGGGCAGGGCTGGCGGGGGGAGTGGCTGGGGTTGCTCAGTGAGTAGGGAAGAGGACAGAATCGGGGAGCCAGGGGCCTGGGGTCCCTCAGTGCTATGGCCTGAGCTGACATTTCCCCGGGGTTGGGGTGGGGATTCTGAGAAGGCCCACAGCAGGCTCTGGGAACCGGGTGGTGCGCCCCAACTCTTGGCCTCAACCCTCCCTCCGGGGAGGAGCCGGCACTTCCCAGAATCACAGGCTGCCAGCCCCAGAGCCCCCCCCCCCAGACTCTCCCAGGCCCCCATGCCGAGGACAGGAGAGGAGCAGGTTGGAGAAGTGGCGGGTCTGGGAGAAGGCGGGTGGGGGAAGGAGCGGCTGTGGGGAGGATCATCCAAGGCCAGAGTTCACGGCCATCTGCTCCACACAGCAGAGTGCCCGCAGCTGGGCAGGGGTCACACACCCAAGGGAGACAGCCTCTGACGGAGCCCTGGGGCTTGATCCGACCTGGGACATCAGGAGTTTTCCTGGCATTGTCCCTGGACTGATGCAGAACCTCAACAGGCTAGGGAGAGCACTGGAACCCAGGGAGGAGACTGTTCCCACCCAGGGTCCAGCAGAGGTGACAGTGGACCAGCTGGCCCAGCACCTGGTACCAGCTCCTCACAATGGCCCTCCTGTACAGCCGTGGATCAGAGAAGGGCCCTGCCCCTGCAGAGGTGTCCCCAAGCCCCAACCTCAGGCCCCTTAGTGCTCTTGGGAGTGGATTATCCTCCACTTTGGGGTGATCTCCAAGGTGTCTGCATCCTGGCTGACATCCCCTGGCCACCCCGAATTCTCCAGCCTCACTATCATGCGCTGTGTCCTCGGGGAATGTAAATCAATTTAAGTATTAGTCTCAGCGAAATGGAATGGAGGAAGGTGACGGCGCTGGAGAGAAAAAGAAATCGCATAATGCCTTCCACCGTCGACAGCGCGGCTTAGGAATTATCTGTGCTGCTCAGAGCAGGAGAAGGACCCATTTGGTCCCCCTAGAACTGCCTGGCCTGGCAAGCCCAGGAGGGGTGCCCGTGGGCATCTTGCAGATGAGGAAACTGAGGCCTAGAGGGGTCTGGAGCCGCTTCTCTGCAGGGCCTGGGAGACCACGGGGTCCAGGCCTCACGTTTTGCAAGTGGGGAGGCCGGCCCGGTGGGGGGTCAGTTGCCTTCTTGCACAGTGCAAGAAACAGGAGAGGGGACAACTTCGGTGGCTGAAGGTCTCTGTCTCCAGGGGGACTCGGGCTCTGGCCAGGCGAGTGCAGCCTCTGGTGGGTCCTGAGAAGTGTTCTGCAGCCTCACCTGTGGCCAGGAGCAGGAGGTGAGGCAGTGCAGGTGGACTGGAGGGAGAGGAGGGGCAGGGGACAGAGAAGGGCCTAGAAAGAATCGAGACCCACAGCTCTGGGACTCTAGAGTCCTTTCTGAATCCCACGGAATTGACTTTTGACTTATCTTTGGATTTTCCAAGCCTCTTGGCTGGTTGGTTGAGAATCAGCCACTAATGTGGTGGCGCTTCCTAGAGGAGAGAAGGACCCAGAAAGTGGCCGTGAAGTCAGGGTGTGCCGAGGGGAGGACCCCGGTGGTGGACGTTCATTCGGGTTGCTCCAAGGTAGAGGCTCCTTAGAGCTGAATCCATTCCCTGCCAGGAGAAGGGGCCGCCTGCCCTGGGCCTGCATCTGGGATGCGGGTGTGTGTGTGGGGGGGTCCATAGGTGTCCCCGTCCCACCCTCTCTCCAAACTGGGCCCTGCTGGTCTGGGGGAGACTGCAGTGCGGCCCCCTCCCCCTCCCACAGCCAGCGGGAGGAGGGAGCTGCCTGACCCAGTTTTCTCCACATTGCCTGAGAGGGAGGGAGGGAGGGAGGGAGGGAGGCGGGAAGCCTTCTCCTCTCTGCCTGTGCCCCTGGTGTGGGGCCGGCGTGGGGAGGGGGCGACCCCTCCGTGGACACTGGCTCCATCCCCCAGCCCCTGGGGGTGCGGGGAGGAGCACAGAGGCCCCCTCTCGTCTGCCAGTCCCCTCTCCGGGATCCCTGACAATGGGGTGGGAAGGTGAGAGGAAGAAGGAAATCGGCAAACAAGAGCTTGTCACTCCAACAGTTCCTGAGGACACTTGTCTCCACCTTTGAGGTGTAGGCTCCAGCTATGCAAATCCCAGGCTCCCCTGCCGCCAAGTTCCAAGAGGCTCCGGTTTTAACCCTCTGCGACCTGCCCAAGCTCGGGATTAGGGTGGCTGGCAGCCCATGGCTGATGGAGAAGAGATTCATGGAAGTCCTGAAACTGGGAAGGTGTTAAGACTGGAGCCAGATGCCCTCTCCTGACCGTCACCAACTAGATCAAAAGGAAGTAGGGCCCAGAGAGGTGAAGGGACTTACCTGAGGACACACAGCAGGCAGAGCAGAGCTGGGATCCATCCTCAGTTTCCAGTTTTGTGCCCCTTTTTCTGCATAAGTGAGTGAATAGGCATAAGGGACATGGAGAGAGGACAGAAGGACAGGACTTGGAAAGGAAATTAGCCCTGAGAAGGACCGGCTTGTCTCAGGCACTGGCTCCAGCCTTCACAGATGATGGGTGTGTGTGTGTGTGTGTGTGTGTGTGTGTGTAATTAAACCCAGGGATGCTTAACTACTGAGCCACACCCCATGCCCTTTTTATTTATTTATTTGTTTATTTATTAAATATGTTTTTAGTTGTTGATGGACCTTTAATTTCTTTCTTAAAAATTTATTTATTTTTAAATTCTAATTTGTTATATATGACCTTTAATTTCTTTATATGTGATCCTGAGAATGAACCCAGTGCCTCACTCATGCTAGGCAAGTGCTCTACCACCAAGCTACAACCCCAGCCCCGCCCTTTTGATTTTTTATTTTGCGACAGGGTCTCGCTAAGTTGCTTAGAGGCTCCTAAGTCAGAGGCTGCCTCGAACTTGTGATCCTCCTGCCACAGCCTCCTGAGCCGCTGGGATTACAGGCACGTGCCACCATGCCCAGCTACAGAATGGCTTCTTAACCTTTAGGCATTATTAACCCATTTTACAGATGAGGAAATCGAGGGTGAAAGCAGGGAAGGCTACTTGCTAATAAGTGGCTGTGCTGTCACAAGAGCCCAGAGGTGGGCCCTTTCCCTTGTTGAAACTGTCCCCTGGACACAGGGCCTTAGAACAGGCCTGCCCTTTGGGTCTGAGCTCCGTCCACACTGGGGCTCCCTCTGGCTGGGCAGCTCCCAGGGGTGTGGTGTGGTACGTGAGGGCGAGGAGAGGTTCTGGAGGCCACCCCTGCACCTGGGGGCCTGGGCCAGGTCCTGGGTCAGATGTTTCATCCATAAAATGGAAAGCACAGGCCTCCTCCGCGAGGTCTCAGACGGGCCCACAGCTCCCCTCGCGGAGCTCGGCACGCAGTAGGTGCACGTGGAGAGGCCACGCTTCCTCTTCTAGGTCCCCCATGTCGCCGTGCTCAGGAGCGCAGGAGATGCCGGGGCCCTTCCTGGGGGACACTGGCGACCATGAAGCTGGGGCCTGTCCCCAATGGGGATGTCTGACTTCACAGAGTGATGGTTTGATGCCACCGTGACCCTGTGTCGGGCCATCCTCACAAACGCCCCGTGAGACAGCAGCCACCGCCTCCCCCATTTAACAGAGGAGGAAGCCGAGCCTTGGAGGAGGAGGGCCTTCCCCCGGGGCTCCCAGCCTCCACTGCTGGCCTCCTGAGCCACCTCCTGGCCACCAGCCGGGATCCCTGGCCCCTGGGGCATCGGGAGTTTGGCAGGTGGCTTTCTCCAGGAGGCCTCCGGGGAAGGGGCCTGGGCTGGCCCCTGTGCGCCTCTGCTGGGGGCTGGGAGGAGGGTCACAGGGACCTGACGCCTCCTGTCTCCTGTTTTACAGTGAACTTGCTGGACACGTCGACCATCCACGGGGACTGGGGCTGGCTCACGTACCCGGCGCATGGGGTGAGTGACAGGCCGGAGTCATCCCTCCGGGAGCCGGGGGAGGCCGCGAGTCAGAGTCTCAGCGTCACAAGATCCAAAGAGAGTGGAGGCCCAGAGAGGTGAAGGGGCTGCCCAAGGCCCCCCGCAGCAGGAGGCTGGCCTCCAACAGTCTGGACACCTCAGACCCTGGGGACCACTGCACCGGCTCTGAGACCTCAGGGCCCTGCCCTGGGCCTGAGACTCAGGACCTGCCCAGGCCAGGCCCAGGGCCGCCTGAGACACAGCGGCCAGGAGACAGAGCCAGGAAGGCCAGCCAGGCCGTCAGGGTCTGTCCGTCTTCCCGGCCGCGTGCCCTCCCCAGGATCTGCTCGGGGCCGAGCCACTGTGTGTCACAGTCACATGGGGGCATGGCAGCCCCCACTGTGGCCAAGGCCCCAGGCCCCAGTGGGCCTCCAAGGTGACCCTGGGCCAGTCCACCAGGTCCCAAATGGTCATCCTTCGCAGGGATGGGACGCCCCCTCCTGCCTTCCTGGGGAGGGGGCTCCAGGGACGAGGCTGAACGGCCCTCCCTTCCGCTGCTCCTCAGGATGAGCCCATTAAATGGGTGGGACCCAGCTCTGCCGCTGGTGCGCTGGGGCCTTGAGTCACCATGTCCTCTCCACCTGAAGGAAGGACCCCGCCTGGGTCGGACTCCTGGGGTCTGCTACGGGGGTGGGGAGGGGACAGCCACAGGCCCCCGCACACTGAGCCCCCGGAGGGATTGAACGCAGAGGTGCTTGACCACCGAGCCACACCCCAGCCTTTTTAATTTTGTGTTTTATTTAGAGACAGGGTTTCGCTAAGTTGCTTAGGGCCTCCCTAAGTTTCTGAGGCCGGCTTTAAACTTGTGATCCTCTTGCCTCAGCCTCCTGAACTGCAGGGATCACAGGCGTGTGCCACGGCGCCCGGCAGGTGTCAGCTTTTATTATTTGAATTACCACTGTCATTAGTGTGTATTATGGGTTATTATCTCACCCAAGTTTCCTCCCACCAGTGCGCGCGCACACACACACAGACCCCTGTCCCCAACACGCACGTGAGCATACTGACTTCTTTCATGAATACTTTCTACTTCCATGGCTCTGGGGACAGGGACAATATTGCTAGTATTAATGGTGATAATGACACCAAGAGTTCACTTATGTGAGGCGTCTGGCTTGGCTTTGGGGTGAGTTCTCATCCCAGCCTTTGGGCCCGTGGCTGGAGGGCAGGATGGAGCCCTATCCCCGATCTCTCTGGGGGTCTCATCACCAGGCAGCAGTGAGCTGAGCCTGTGGTCATCAGCCCCTGTGCCCAGGGACGGGGGAGCTGGCGGGGCAGCCTCTGTGGGCCCTGACTCTCCAGGCTCCGGAGCCAGGAGGGAGCCCCCATCTCAAGATCAGCATGGCGGGGTGTGGACGGGCTTCGACAGGGTGAGCCCGTGTGGCCGCTCATGGGCCTGACCTGGGGTGGGAGTTCAGCCTGGTCCACACCTGTCCACTCTTGGCAGAGAGCAAGTCCCTTGAGTCCCAGCAGCTATGAAGGGACCCACCAGGCCCTGTGCAGGGGGGACGTGCCTGGCCCCAGATTGGCTCTGGTGGGTCAGTGTCCCACTCAGTGCTGAGGACTTGGTTTTTAGGGTGATAGGAGTCGTGGGGCGTTAGCAGGTGAGGAGTGTGACGGTGATGGAAGGGTCTTTTGTTGGTGGGACACTAGACCACGGCTCAGTGTTCTCTCATTTCATTTGGGATTTAGAACAAATTAAAAATGACCGCACAGGTCCCCACGGCTCTGAGCGGTTCGCAGAAGCGTGTGGCTTCAGCCCGCACCGTCGGGGAGGTGGGTGCGGCCCACCACACAGGTGAGGAAACTGCGGCATGAGGAAAGCCCCTCGTCGACAGGTCCTGAGTGACGGGAGCCGGGATCACGCTCAGGCCCTCCGGCTGGCCCCGCAGCGCGTCTCTTAGCCTGGGTAGACGCCAGGTCCCCACGGTGCGGCTGGGGGGCTGCCCTCCTTGTCTCCTGGAGCTTGGGGTGGCCTGGAGGGGAGAGAGCTGGACTGGGATGCCTGGTCCCCAATTCCAGACCCTCATCCTGGGGCGCTGGCAGGAGGAACATGCACGTGTCCCTGTCTGGAGTCCTGGGGAGGGGCCGGGCCTCTTCTGAGACACTTTCCAGGTGACGCTCCTGCCCAGTGGGGAGGAAGGTCCTCTGCAGAGGGTCCCTGAGGTTCTGTTTACCTCCCTGGAGTCCACCCAACAGCCAGGGTGCGGAGGCCCTGCAGGGCTGCCCCAGCCCCGTTACCAGGCAGTGGCACAGCCTGGAGGGCAAGGGTGTTGGACTCCTTGGGCCAGGCTCTGCCTCCTGTGACTGAGGGTTTGGGCAGGTCACTCACCTGGCCTCAACCACCCGTTTATAACAGGGGTGGTTCATGGGTCCGGGCAGCTGTCCATGGGGGGTGAATTTTACCAGTGAGCTCTGAGAGGCGAGGCCACTCTGCTCAGGTTGGGGGGACATCTAGGCCCCGGACCTGTGTGCTGAGCCAGGCTACGTCCTCCCTCTGCCCCCAGGGACTTCTGCCCACAGGGACATCTGCACCTTGCCTGGTGAATTAAGTTGCTCATCGCCCTGCCTTAGGTGAGGGGACACACCTGATCCTCACCTCCTGGAGGAGACAGAAACGGAGGCCATCGGCAACCCCATTTCACTGATGAGAAGCCCCAGGCTCAGAGAGGGATGTGACTTCCCAGGGACACGCAGCTGGTTCACTGCATTCTGCCCCAGGAAGAGAGCGCGGCCGGGGAAGAGAGCCAGGGTTAGCTGCCAGAGCTTGAGAGGCCACCGGGTGGGAGTGGCCCCTGGTGTGCAGCTTAGGGTGCCCTGTGGAGACCGAGACTGGCTGTGCCCCTGTGCCAGGCCTCTGCAGTGGCTCCTGGGCCGGCAGGGCTGGCCAAGCTGCTGGCACTGGTGGGGTGGCTGGAGTGGACTCAGATCAGGCTGATTAATTTATCCAGGCCCCTGGCAGGAAACAGACAGGGAGCAGCTGGCAGGCTCTCTGGTGTTCCACTAATTGTGACAATGACTTTAACCCCAGATGTGGCATGGTGCTGCCCAGAGGCTCTGGCTGCAGAGTGCCGTACAGGGCAGGGCTCCTTCTTGGGGTGGGGAGCAGGAAGCTCCCGGGGTCCCTAGAGACGAGGCCCTGCTCCCACACTGGTCCTGGAGGTGGAGGGAGGCTGGGGGAGTCTGCCAGTTCCGACTCGTGTGTGTCCAGTTCAGGGGCCGCCGGGGGCCAGGCCTGAGCTCCTTTGCAGGCATGTTCTCAGGGCATGGTCTGAAGCCGGGCTGAATGGGGTCTGTCTGAGCCCTGCTGTATAGATCTGGGCACCAAGGGTGGGACCACACAGTGGCAGGGACAAGGAGGGACAGAGGGGCTTGTGACAGTCAGGGTACCCAGGCCCCCTGCACTGGGAACAAGCTCAGCCCCCAGGCTCTCAGAGCCCCACGAGGAGTGGTCTTCAGGGCCTCCCCCGGTAGGCGATAGGATCTCTAGTTCAAGGACAGCTGCACAGGAAGACCCAGTAGAGAAGGTCGAGGGGCAGAGCCTGACCCCACCATCTGCCACCAGCCCTCTGGGTTCAGCTGCGTGTCCGCTCTGGCCAGCAGTGCGGCTGAGCGGGCACACCCCTGTTTCGCCCAGGCTGGCCCCTGAGACATGCCCACGTGCCTGGAAACTCCGTCCCCAGGTGGTCACCCCCTCCACCTGCATGTGGCCGGGAAGCACTGAAGGTGGGGGGCATTTGTGTGACATCTTCACTCTTTCTGTTTGGTTGGTTTTCTGGGGTGGGGGGTGAACGCAGGCCCTGAGGTTGCCTGGCAGGCGCTCCCCACCCGCTGAGTACCCAGCCCCTAATGAAGGGTTTGTTCCGTTTGTGTATTTGTGTGTTTTGTGGGGTCCTGGGGGGAACGCAGGCCCCGTGCGTGTGTGCCAGGCAAGCGCGCAGCCACCGAGCCGCACCCAGCCCTACTCTTTTTTCCTTGTGGTAAAATAGACCCAACTTGAAGTTTGCTCGTATCCACTTCTAACTGTACAGGTCAGTGGCATTCAGTGCACTCACATCCCTGTGTGACCGTCACCGCTGTCCATCTCCAGGACTCTCTTCATCTTGTTAAACCAAAATTCTGTTCCCACTAAGTGTGTCTCCACTCCCCCTCTCCCCAGCCCCCGGCTAGTTTCTACCTCTACCAATCCGACTAACCCAAGTGCTTTGTTGTTAAGTGAGGTCCTACACGACCTGTCCTTTTGTCCCGGGCATATTTCATTTACTGTAATCTCTTCAAGGTTCACCTATATTTTAGCAGGTATCAGAATTTCATTCTTTTTAAAAGCTAAATAATAATCTATTTTTTATTCAGCTATATGCACATATTGTGTGCATACACCATATCTTGTTCATCCATTCAGTTGTTGGTGGACATCTGGGCCGCTTCCAGTTTAGCTATTGGTTTGGGGTTCTTTTTTGGGGGGAGCAGTGCTGGGGATCAAGCCCAGTGTCTCGCATGGGCTAGGCAAGGGCTTTACCCCTGAGCTGCACCCCCAGCGGCACATCTCAGCTGTTGTGAGTGACACTGCTGTGAACACCGTGTGTACAAGTGATCTCCAGGGGACCCTGCTTTCAGTCCTCAGAATTGCGGGGTGCCGTGGCCATTCTATTTTTAACTTCTGGAGGAACCACCGAGCTGTTCTGCACCGTGGCTGCACATTTTACGTCCCCGCCCGAGTGCGCGAGGGTCCTGCTTCTTCATGCTCACCCACACTGGGTATCTTCTGGGTTTTGTTTTTTGTCAATACTAATGGCCATGAAGTGGCTCCCAGTGTGGTTTTCCTGTTTCCCCAGCCATCAGCGGCGTGGAGCAGCTAGCTCTTCTTTGGAGAAATGTCTGTTCCTGTTCTTTGCTCCTCTTTTGTTGAGATGGTTCCCCCCCTGGGTTGGGGGGTCTTCCTCTGCCTCCTCGGCATGTTAATCCCTTCTCCGATGCATGATGGGCAGAGGTCTTCTCCATCGCTGGGGTTATCTCCCCGCTCGGGAGAGCACCTGGTTCATCTCTGATCCACTCCTGCCCGGCCACTCGCTGGTACAGAGGACACACACTTGACCTTCCTGCACCCTCAATTGAGTGGGACACAGGCCAGTCTGGGAATCCCCAGCCTTGGGCGGGAGGCAGGGGACCAGTAAGAACAGCAGGGCTGGGGGAGTGGTGGGCACTCAGGGAGCACAGTGCAGGAGGGGCTGCGGGGGGGGGGGTTCCAGGCAGGGCCAGCAGAGTCTCTGTTGGTCGTGAGACCCCTGTGGCAGCTGCAGTGTTGCCAACGCCCCCCAGCAGGTGCCCTCACTCTGGGAATGACAGGTGGAGCCATACAGAGATGGAGGCTGGTTTCCATGCGTGAGGGGCCTGGGTGCCAGTGCAGCTGGAGCTAGCTGTGTGACCTCAGGCTTGGGGCTCACACCTTAGTCCCTGTCCTCAACCACAGGAAGTCAGTGCACTGGGCAGCTGAGACCTATGACCACCTGTCTGAGGGTCAGCTGCTCTGCCTTCTCCCAGGGGCATGAGAAGGCACCGTGTGTGGCCCCGGGCCCAGGGGCTGGCAGGAGAGGGCTGGGTGCCGCGGCTTCTTTAGCGGGCTGTGTTCTCCGCCCACAGTGGGACTCCATCAACGAGGTGGACGAGTCCTTCCGGCCCATCCACACGTACCAGGTGTGCAACGTCATGAGCCCCAACCAGAACAACTGGCTGCGCACGAGCTGGGTGCCCCGCGACGGTGCCCGGCGCGTCTACGCGGAGATCAAGTTCACGCTCCGTGACTGCAACAGCATGCCCGGCGTGCTGGGCACCTGCAAGGAGACCTTCAACCTCTACTACCTGGAGTCGGACCGCGACCTGGGCTCCAGCACGCAGGAAAGCCAGTTCCTCAAAATCGACACCATCGCGGCCGACGAGAGCTTCACGGGCGCGGACCTGGGCGTGCGGCGGCTCAAACTCAACACGGAGGTGCGCGGCGTGGGTCCCCTCAGCAAGCGCGGCTTCTACCTGGCCTTCCAGGACATCGGCGCCTGCCTCGCCATCCTCTCCCTCCGCATCTATTACAAGAAGTGCCCCGCCATGGTGCGCAACCTGGCGGCCTTCTCGGAGGCGGTGACCGGCGCAGACTCGTCCTCGCTGGTGGAGGTGCGGGGCCAGTGCGTGCGGCACTCGGAGGAGCGGGACACCCCCAAGATGTACTGCAGCGCCGAGGGCGAGTGGCTGGTGCCCATTGGCAAGTGCGTGTGCAGCGCCGGCTACGAGGAGCAGCGGGATGCGTGCGTGGGTGAGCGCGCCCCGTGGGCGGGCAGTGGGTGAGGGGCGCGGCCGCGGGCCGGGGTGGGGACGTCACCTTCCGCCTCTGGGTGGCGCCCTGGGGTCCCGGGAGGATGGGTTGACTCCAGGGCTGCGGTACACCCGGCCACCTGTGTGTTGTGGCCAGGAGGTGCCCTCGGTGGACATTGACGGGTACAGCTAGGGACGCCGGTGCCTTGGGTCACTTACCTAAGTTAGGGACCCACTTCAGGTGCTCTTGCGGGCGCTGTTCTGAGCACTTTGCGTGTATTAATCCCCACTCTCACAGTATGAAGTAGGAACTACTATTATCCTGGGCTTTAAAAAAACTTTTTTTTGCCTTTTTATTGGTTCTTTTTAGTTATGCATAACATTAGGATTAATTTGGACAAAATTATAAAAGCATGGGACATACTTCTCATTCAGTCCCCAGCTCCTTCCGCCCCCTCCTCCCTCCCCATCCTCTTCCCCACTCCACTCATCTCTCCCTATTTACTTTCATTCATATATATATATATATATATATATATTTTTTTTTTTTTTTTAATTAGTCCCTTTTTGTAGATGAAGGGACTGAGGCTAGAGAAGCAACTTGCCAAGGTCCCACAGCTCGAGGTGGCCAGGCTCTATGGCTCCCACAAGCCCAGCTCCAGGGTCTGTGTGAGAAACCGCTGAGCTTCTCACCTGCTGGGAGCGCACAGGGAGGGCGTCCAGTGGGTCCAGGCAGTGCACCCGGGGAGGACCGTCTAGGTTGGGTCTGTCACGGGGCACCCAACCTAGGCTGCCTGCATTTAGGGAAACTTGTCCAGCGTCCTGTGGGAGAGGACAAGAGGTCCTGTTGAGGACACCGGGCACCTTGGTCAGGAACTAGCATGTGCTTCTGGTGTCAAGCTGGGACTTTGTGTCACAGACCAGGGACAGGCGTGCATAGGGGGAGCCCAGCCCCCGTGTGTGCATGCAAGGGCATGTGTGTGCCCAGGGGACTTCAGGGGGGCACCCTGCAGCCAGGAGGGAGCTCAAGGGAATGTGGTGTGTGAGCAGCTGGTGCCCAGTTGGTGCCGACTCCCATGGCTCCCCTCGGCCCTTCTGTGAGTCCCATGAGCTGGACATGGGGCCCCTTAGCCGTGTGTCAGGCACAGGGAGGCCTGGCTGTTGAGACCAACGGTCCCCCTGGGCTGAAGAAGGGGAAGCTCCTATGCAGGGATCAGAAAGATGAGAGCCTGTCCCAGGACAGCAAAAACTGGCACCAGGTCCCTATCAGCCATTGGGAATATCCTCTTCGCCTTTTGCTCTGCCCACACAGGTCCTGGGGCCCAGAGTTAGGGGGACAGGACCTTTGGTCCCCATTAGCACCTTCCCTCTGCCTCTGGCAGGCAACAAAGTGTCTTGATTTTAACAAGACTGAGCAGGGCGTTGGCTGGCGACCTCAGGTGACAGGCAGCTCCAGCCAGGTCTTCCTCTGGCCCCCAGGCCCTTTCGTGCCCTTCCTGGGCTCTCTGGCTTCCTTGAGAAACCTTTTGCCACGCCCTTGACTGCCCCCAGTCTTGACCTTGCTGGGCTCTGAATTCCTTCAGTGGCGCTGGCTTGTCCCTGATTTGCTGACTCCCCACCACCTCCGTGTGCTCCCGCCTTGCTGCTGGGCTGTCTCCCCGAGCCTCACAGCTCGGTTCTCGGCTGACTTTACAGCTCCATCTTATAGATGGGGAAACTGAGGCACAGGAGGTAACACGGCCTTGAACCCCACTCAGCCTGCTCCTGGCGGCCCTCCCTGCCACAGCCGGCTCCCGGCGTCCTGCTGTTCTGACGGGGATGATCAAGTAGCTTCGTGACAGTTTTTCAAGTGTTGTTGTATGTGCCGTTTAGTAAACACTCTTCCCGTGAGGTGGGTTGTCTCTTCCCTGCGTGTCTGTGTTTGATGGGCACCAAGGGCCGGGGCAGGAGGCCTGCCTTTGAGGATGAGTTTCTCACCTTCACCGTGGCCCTCCGAGCCAGGCCTCGGGTCCTCACTTTACAGATGACAAACCTGAAGCCCCTCAACCTTAATGGCAGAGTGCGATGGCATCCCGGGCTCCCGGCTCCACGGCCCAGAGCTGCCTCCTCTGTCCACAGAGTCTTCTCCAAAGCCCACCTGCCCTCCCCCCGGGTCTCACTTAGATGGTCAGTGACTGATACCGCAGAGGCCAGGCTAACTGGGCTGGCCCGTGCGTAGCTCCTTGGGGACAGCTGCTACCCAGCTCTGGATGTTGTGAGGGAGCATGAATCCGCCAGCCATCTGTCCCACACGCACCGAGACATGCTGGCCCGGGGGACGCACACTTGCCTCCTGACTTCGCGGGGCTCTTGGGAGATGCTCCAGGATCCTCCTGTAGCCGGGTGGGAAATGGAGCCCCGAGCAGGAGTGCGCCTGCCCAGGTCCCTGCCTGCCCAGTCCCCGCCTGCCCAGGTCCCCAGCACACCCAGGGCAGGGCTCCCGGCAGAAAGTCCAGGCCCTGCCGAGGCCGGGCGAGGCCAGCGCTGCTCCCCTTTCCTGACGCTGCCGGCACATTAATAAAAGATAATAAAGAAATGCCAGGGCAGGGCTCGGGATTCACAGCGTATTTTGAATTTTACATTTGAATCATAATACAACATAATTATGCTAGTTGCAAGATAATTACAGGTTTTAATAAAAAATATTAATTCTGAGCGCACTGCAGGCAGGGAGATCTGTGAAGGGAATGCCAGTTTGAAGTCACACGAGGAGAGACATTTTCTGCCCTGTTGGTGGCTTCTGTGACTGTCTGTCACTCCAGTTGGAAAGAGCAGCACCGGCCCCTCACCAAGGCCTTCACCAGCGTCCCCTCCTGCCCCCGGGAAGCCCTCCCCCTCTCTGAGGCCTCAGCCCCTCCTTGATGGACAGACTGAGCAGAGCGCTCAGAGCCGAGCAGGAGCTGGGGACGGCACGGGGGTGTCTTTCCTCGGCCACTTGAGATGTCCTCAGAGCTTCCCCGGTGGGTCTTCGCCTCCTGAGGTCAGTGGCCCCTGGCTGGTCCCAGGACCTCCTGTTGGAGAGGAGGGGCTGGGACAGGGGTTATATCTGGATATCTCCCAGCCCTTGAGATTCACAGAGGAAGACAGTGAATCCTGGGAGGAGGGGGAGGAGGGGGAGGAGGAGGAGGAGGAGGAGGAGGAGGAGGCCCTACCAGGTCTCATGGCTCTTCAGAGGCTTTGCTAAGATTGCACTCAGGACTCAGAGACCCGTGGAAAAACGTCAGAGCCGTATGCAGCTAGTCCATTTTACCGGTGGGAGGTGGAGGCCCAGAGAGGCCAAGAGACTGGCTCGGGGGCGAACAGCAGGGAGGGGTTGGCGGTGTCTCTGCTCTCCCAATTCCCCGACCAGGAAGAACACCTGGGAACACCTCCCCGCTCCTGACCCAGTGACCTCCCCGGACACCCCACTGCACTCTTCCCCCACTCCTCCAGAAAGGGGAAGGACACGTCACCTGGTGGAGTGGCATCTCAGGGACTGAAGTCTCGGCGGCCGTCCTTCCTGTCACCTGGACGCAGGATATAAATCACCCTCTGCGGCCCTAATCATCTTTCTATAAATATCAGCGCCTCATTCCGGAGGGGGAGCGAGTAGGCCGCTCCTTGCCTTCCTGACTGTGTTTAAAATCTGATTTAGAATTAATTTCCTTGGTCGTCCGCAGGCGGACACCTTATTTGTCAAATCTCCAGCTCTCTGCAGAGGACAGCAGAGAGGTGGCCGGGGCCGCAGGCAGCTGCCAGCCTGCAGGTGGCCTGGGCAAGGTGCCCTCAGCAGGGGCAGGGCCCCTCCTGGCCCGAGGCCCGGTGCCCGGCCCACGAGGGCGGGCTGCGGAAGCACCCTGGGCGGCGGGGGGGTGGCCAGGCCCGTGTCTGAGCCCGGCCCCAGGTCCCGGCCCCCTGAGGCCTGGTGATTAGGATTCTTATTAAAGACGATTTCATTTTCACTGTGTGGATTAATCTGGCCCTGACACGTATAGCCAGATGGGTATTAGCTGAGTGTGTGCGGAGTGCCCGCTGGTAGGTGACAGGATGGCGCGGCCACCTCAAAGCCCAGGGACCGGTGCGCAGGTGGAGGAGGGCGGCTGCCGGGTGGTGGCCGGGAGGTGGCCGGGCCTGGCTCAGCGCAGGACTGGGCGGGACCGGGGCGGGCCGAGGCTCCCAGGCCGCTTTCCGCTCCCACAGACAGGCACTGTGTCCTGTCCTGAGCTGACAGGCCGTCCCCCGCCCAGCCTGGGTGGCACTGTGACAGGTGAGGGAGCACCTTGCCTAGCGTGGCTGAGCTCAGGCGATGGGTGGGGTGACAAGGGACCAGGCAGCCTGTGCCGTTTCTCCTCCTGCTCGCTGAGGACCCGGTGGACTCTGTTGATGGCCAGGGACCCGCTGAGATGGCTGTCCCCTTGTGCTTCCTCTGTGCCCCGCATTGTGGCTGGGGTTCCCGGCAGAGGCTCAGTAAGAGCCGGTAAGAGCTCAGTAAGAGCAGGGGCAGATGAGCACAGGGTTCCCGAGGTGTCAAGGGACATGGTCAGCACGTGGCTGCCCAGGACTGGCCTCCCGGCGCTTCTGGGAAGGGGGGGAGACAGCGGGCTCACGGGAGCCCAGAATCCCACGCTCCCGGCCCTGCACCCGGCCCCTGCTCAGGCGCGAGCCCTGGGACCTGCCCCGTGACGGCTGAGCCCCTCCCAGGTGCACGGCCCCAGGTCTCTGGGGCCCTCGTTGAGGTCATCACTTCTGGTTCCAGTGGCAGGATTTTGGAAATCACCCTGGTCCAGCTGCTGTGACAGATGCCATCAGCGTCCAAGGAAGAGATTCTCTGAGATGTTTTCACATAGAACTTCTCTCAGGCACGGGGTCTTCTAGAATAGGGTTTTGTGCTAAGAGCATCCCAGTCAGTGTCCCTGGAGCAAAGGACTTCAGGTCCAAGGATGAGGCCGGGAGCTGCCTGGCTGGGTGGCATTGGGTCCACCAGATCCCGGATTCTCCCTCTGCCCGGAGCAGATGATGGTGGTGTCCACTCCATTTGGAAACTCTGCCAGTGTGAGACGGCCTCTGCGGTGGGCCAGCCCTGTGCCAGGTGCGGGGGGACTTTGGGATGAACTAAGCAGCCCCGCCCATATTCACAAGGATCCACCCACCAGGACCTCCCAGTCCAAGAGGAGAGTCAGACACATAAGATAAATACAGACAGCCTTGGTGTCACAGGCGTGAGGTGATCGGGGACTACAGGAGCAGGAGGGCCATGGTCTGGGAAGGCTGCACCAAAGGACATTTAAATGACTCTTGAAAGAGAAGTTAGACTGTTGGAAGAAAGGCATCCCAGGAAGACTTGGCACACGCCCAGGCCCTGAGGCAGGAAACAGCCTGCCACACCCGGGAAGCCGGCATTCATTTAGTTTGGCCAAAGGGTGGGGGGTGCAGGAACCTGCAGGTAGGCTTGGGTCTGGTAGAGAGGGGTGTGGACGCCAGGCTTTCTGGTTTAGGCCACAGGGAAGCCCGTGAGGGGCTGACCAGGCAGTGACAGCAGGTGTGCATTTCAGAAATTCCCTCCACCCAGGCCTGCCGCTGCTCTCCCGTGGGCACCCTCCTGGACAGACTTACTGTGCGCTGCTCCTCTAACATCCAGCTCTATCTATGGCCACGTCTCTTGGGCCCAGAACCAGCCTGGCCCAGGCCATGCTCCTGAGCAGAGGTTGGGGTCTCTGGCAGCTGGAGTGGGGAGCAGGGCTGGGGGGTCCGGAGGCCACTGTCTCATGCAAGCAAGGGACGAAGCACACGGCAGGGTCAGGACCGCAGAGGTGACGGGGGCCTGGGCGGGGCCTTGCCGGGGGAACGTGTGAGACGGAGTCCCCAGGCCTGGCTCCCGGAACTCGGGGTCTGAGGGGGGGGCCGGGAGTCTGAGTATTTATGGGGGTGATTCCGTGTCTGCCTTGGGGACCTGGAATCTTCCACATGGGACTCTTCTCTTGCCCACCCCCATTGCCTGTTTGGCTTTTACATCCCCCCAAGTCACATCCTAGGTTTTGGTCCCTCCTTCCATCTTCAACCCCTTGGTCCCTGTCCCCAGGGACTGGTGTCCTGTGAAGGACAGACTCTGAGGCTGGATAAGGAGTAGGAAGGCCTGTTGGAGGAGGAGGGGGGATTTGGAGAAGCTCCGGGGCAGGCTGTGTCAACTCTGTGCCTTCTTTGGGGTGGGGACTCAGGTGTCAGGGTCCCACCTCAGCTCTGTCCCCAACGTGCTGTGCAACCCTGGGTAAGTCACAGACCCTCTCTGTGCTTCAGTCCCTTCATCAGCATCGTGGGTGAGGCTGAACTTCTGCCCCTCGGCCCCTCCAGGGGATCCCCCCGGAAGCCCTGGGTCGGAGAGAGCTGCCAGAGGCCTGCCGGGTGGCCTGGCTAACTCACCCACAGACGCTTCTCCCCCACAGCCTGTGAGCTGGGCTTCTACAAGTCAGCCCCTGGGGACCAGCTGTGTGCCCGCTGCCCACCCCACAGCCACTCCGCAGCCCCGGCCGCCCAGGCCTGCCGCTGTGACCTCAGCTACTACCGTGCGGCCCTGGACCCGCCTTCGGCAGCCTGCACCCGTGAGTAGCGCCCAGGCCAGCGCTGGGTGAGGCCCCCGGGGCTCTGTGGGGCCAGGGCCCAGGCTGGGGCGGGGCAGGACTCCACCCCTAGCAGTGGCCTTGACCCCTCTGGGCTCCCAGCCTCTTGTCACCTGTCACCTGCCATCTCCCCAGGGAGCTCTTCCACCCCTCCATGGTCTCTGCTCCAGAGGGCAGGGGCAGGCCGGACCGCGCCCATCATCTCCCCACGGGGTCTGGGTGGCAGGGCAGGGCGTTTCCCCCAGGCTGAGCCCCCAGCCCCAGCACCTGCCGTAGACCTTCGGGCTGTTGTGTGTGGGAGTGCCTTTCGCGGCCGGGTGTGTGCCGAGTGTGTGTGCCGAGTGTGTGTGCCTGGGGGTGCGTCCGGGATGCTGTGGGGTGGCCTCCTGCCGTGGCAGCGGCTCTACAGAGGACGCGGTGTGGGCTGTGTGTGAGGGCAGCGCCTGGGCTCTCAGGGGGGGGGCGTCCTTGGGTGTGGGGGGTGCATCAGGGCACCTGAGGGGCTCAGACGCATACCTTGTTAGCTTGGCACGGGGACGGTGGCTCCTGCAGTGCCCCTGGCTGTCTTGCTGCGACCCCCAGCTCTGGCCCTGCCCACACCGACCCTGGCCTGGGGCTCAGCCCCCTCAGGCCCCCCATTTGCCAGCCCAGGCTCTCCCGGGGTGCCCAGCACTCAGGGTTCTGACTCTGCCTGGATCTGCCCCAGCCTTGTCCCCCCCACTGCCACCCTGTGCCCACCCAGCCCCAGGCACCGGGCACCAGTGGGAGGGCTCAGGTGTATTCACACCACGGGGGCCACACAGTGCCCGCCCCTCTGCTGCTCTGCCCAGACCTGTGTGTGTCTCCATGTGGGATCCCCTGGGGCAGAAGGGACAGCTGCTGGCCTGGTGACAGCTGTACGCTCTGTGGGCCCCGGGGGCAGGGGGAGCCTGGCTGAGTCCTGTCCACGCACCTGACCGGACTCTGGCTTTAGACACTGGAGCTTCTGAGCCTGAGACGTGGGCTCCTCGTGTCCACCCCGCTCTGCCTTTAAGACTGTCCCCTCTGGTGATGGCGAGCCTGTGACCCTGAGGTCCTGTGGCTCTGGCCTCGAAAGACCCAAGATCCCTTGCCTGGAGTTCCCAGAGTTGGATTTCTGAGGCCCCGGGGTCCCCCAGCCCCCATGCCTCCCTGCTCAGACCCCACCACTACCAGGGGACCCCCGGGCCTCCTGCCCCACCCCGAAGTCGGCCCCACCAGGTGGTCACCCTTTTTCTCCAAAGTCTATGCTGCCCAGACTGGCCTCCATGCCAGGGTGACAGAGTGACAGCCACAGGGGACACTTAGTGGGGTCCTGGCTTCACCGAGTGCTCAGTGGTGTTTCACTCAGGTCCAGCCCAGGGGTGGGGGTGAGGGCGGGGTGCGAATGACGGGCACTCCACATGCGGGGTGTCTCTGTGGGCACCCAGGACCACGCCATCTCCCTCCAGCCCTGGAGGAAACTAGGGCGGCACCACCCAGGACCCCGTGGTCCTGCTTAGGTCCCCGTGCCAGTCTGATGGCAGACACAGCCTCTGCCTGCGGGGACCGTCCAGGTGGAGCAGGGGTGACTTTAGCCTTAGGGACCCCTCACCATGGGGGGGAGTCCTTCCCCCGGGAAGCCCCTGGTCTGACCCTGGGGAGACTGGACCAGCCCAGTGTCCCTGTGTCCTCCTCTGTCTCCCAGGGCCACCCTCTGCACCCGTGAACCTCATCTCCAGTGTAAATGGGACATCTGTGACCCTGGAATGGGCCCCTCCCCTGGACCCAGGTGGCCGCAGTGACATCACCTACAACGCCGTGTGCCGCCGCTGCCCCTGGGCACTGAGCCACTGTGAGGCGTGTGGGAGTGGCACCCGCTTCGTGCCCCAGCAGACCAGCCTGGTGCAGGCCAGCCTGCTGGTGGCCAACCTGCTGGCCCACATGAACTACTCCTTCTGGATCGAGGCCGTCAACGGCGTGTCCGACCTGAGCCCCGAGCCCCGCCGGGCTGCCATCGTCAACATCACCACCAACCAGGCAGGTAGGTGGAGACGCTCCTCCCAGCTCCTGGCCCACCCGTGCCCACCCGGGGGGGGGGGGGTCAGAGCCCGGCACAGACTCGCTGTGGGCTTTGGGCAACTGGCCGCCTCTCCTGGGCATGTCCACTCTACTAGGACCCAGAGCTGGGGGCTTCTTTTCTTAGAAAAGTATAGAATGGCCAGGCACATGGCTGTAATCCCAGGGGCTCGGAGGCTGAGGCAGGAGGATCGAAGGTTCAAAGCCAGCCTCAGCAATGGCGAGGCCCTAAGCAACTCAGTGAGACCCTGTCTCTAAATAAAGTTCAAAACAGGGCTGGGGATGTGGCTCAGTGGTCGAGTGCCCCTGAGTTCAACCCCTGGTACCAAAAGAGAAAGAAAAGTAGAGAATGTTCTTTGAGGGAGGAATCAAGAAAGCAGAGGTAGGCTGGCTTGGCCTCGAAGGCCTGGGTTCCAGAACTTTCTGTATCTGACCACCATACCTGCGTGGTACTGTTGTGAGGCTTCAGAGAGAGAGAGATGGAGAAGCTCTCAGCCAGCGCCCCGCCTGTGGCACATACTCAGTAAATGTCATCAGAAGATGACGTCACTTTGATGACCCTTTTCCAGAGTAGCTGCCTTGGCTGCCCCTGGGATGGACTTGGTGACACTGGCCTTGACCTCGGCCATTTATCTCTTTCTAGCCAGTGCTTGGGCTGTGTTGAGCCCCTGGAGGCTCTCTCCAGACTCTGGGGGGTCCTGCCTGCCAGGCGGCACAGTGACCTCAGAGTCCCCAGATGGCCACCCCCAAGTGTGTCCCCACCAGCCCACCCCTGAGTGTGCTGGGACCCCTTGGGCTTCTCCCCAGCCCCATGCAGACCTGGCCCAGCACATGTCCCACCTGCTCCTGGTGGGAAGAAATAGACCCCAAGAGCCACCCAGTGTCACCCACGTAGGAAGTGGCAGGTCTGTCTCATGGCCAAGTGGAGCAGCCTCCCCACCAAAGCCGGGCACCTCTCTGACACCTCAGCTTCGCCCACCGGGAGACCCCTGGCTCAGCAGCCACGCGGGTCACTGTGCTGGGGGCTCACGGCCCTGCCCTGCCCACCTGCTGACAGGGCCACCGAGGCAGGTGGCTGGCTGGTCCGGGTGGAGGGAGGAGCACGAGAACCCAGCAGCCATGGACAGCGCCCAGTGTCCACTCTACAGGATGAAGCAACGGCTTCATCAGGGTCCCCGCTAGGGAGAGAGCGAGCCAGGTGCAGAGCCACCCTGACCCCAGGCTGGGGTCATTTCCTGTCCCAGATGCGACTCTGCACTTTGTTCTGAACGTTTCCTATCGGTCACCAGCAGCATTTATTGGGCTCCTACTCTGTGGCCCCTGCCTCCCAGGACTCCCAGGCATGCTGGGGAGAGGGGACGTCAGATATGAGGGACGAGCCGGCCAGGTGGGGCAGGCGGGGGACATGGGGTGTGGGGCAGAGTCAGGGCTGGGGTGAGCAGAGGGGCCAGCAGGGGGCAGTCCTGTGTGTGTCACCTCAGGGTAGTGGCACTGGTGGGGAGGGAGGGGGCGGTGAGCTGGCCAGCCAGGGAGGACATGGCTGAGCACCCTTGAGTGCCACAGCAGGGCTCAGCCCCTTCCCTAGCCCCTTCCTGGGGACTCAGGCTGAGGGTGGCCCCTCCATTCTTCCCCTCTGTCCCTCTCCCTCTCCTGGGCCCTGCTCCCCCAGGGCTTGTCTGGGTCAAGTCCAGTGGGTCCTAGACGGGAGCCAGGTGGGGCTGGGGCTAGGGCTGACCCGGGAGGCCGCGGTGGCGCTCTGCAGGGTGGACGGGTGCGGCTGCCCTGGGTGGGGCGGTCAGGGGCTGAGCTGGGCCACCCGGGCGGGTGGGGGACGTCCCGATGACGCCGCGCCCACGCCCCCGTCGGGCGGCCGCCCAGCCCCGTCCCAGGTGGTGGTGATCCGGCAGGAGCGCGCGGGCCAGACCAGCGTGTCGCTGCTGTGGCAGGAGCCGGAGCAGCCCAACGGCATCATCCTGGAGTACGAGGTCAAGTACTACGAGAAGGTAGGCGGCGGCCCGCTGACCCCCTCCGGCCCTTGCCTTGTCCTGGTTCTGTCCGTGTCCCTGTCCTTGCAGGACAAGGAGATGCAGAGCTACTCCACCCTCAAGGCCGTCACCACCCGGGCCACCGTGTCGGGCCTCAAGCCGGGCACGCGCTACGTGTTCCAGGTGCGGGCGCGCACGTCGGCGGGCTGTGGCCGCTTCAGCCGGGCCGTCGAGGTGGAGACCGGGAAGCCCCGTGAGTGCGGCCGGGCCTGGCGGCGGGGGACAAGTGGGACAGCGGTCAGCGTCTCCGCCGGTGACAAACTGAGGCTCAGAGGAGGAAAGGCACTTGCCCAAGGCCACAGAGCAGACAGCCTGTCCCCAGCTGCTGCTGCTGACCCTCCTGAGGCCCTGGCCAGCAGGTCTTGTGTGTGTCCCCGAGGCAGCGCTGTGGGTCCCCTTGTATAGACAGGGAGGTCAGGGTCAGCGCAGTGAGGGGTTCACAGCAACAGGACCGCGGTCCGTGGGACCCAATCCCAGGCCCTCCCGCCTGTCATCCGGCTCCAAGGCCCCGCCCAGCAGGAGTTCCCCAAATTCTGCTGGGACCTGCAGCATGGCCGTCACCTGGAAGCTTATTAAAAACGCTAGTGCTCAGCCGCCTCCCGCTCTGGATCAAAAACTCTGGGAAGCGGGGCCCAGCAATTTGGGTCTTCTTAAGCCTTTGGGGGTCCTGAAGCATTCCGAGTTTGGGGACCGCTGACATAGAGGCCGACCCTCATATCCATCACCTTAGGCTCTGGCCAGCAAAGGTCTTCTCCTAGCCATAGGACAGACTAAGTGACCGCCCACCTGGCACTCCCCTGCCATCCGTGTGTCTCAAGTGCTCAGACTGGAGGCAGGGATCCTGCCCCCTTCCATCCCACGTACTGTGTGCCCTGGAGGAAGTTGCTTGAGTTCTCTGAACCTCAGTTTTCTTATCCGGAAACAAGATAATCCTGAGACCTCCCTGGAAGGGCTCTGGCGAGGGCTCGCTGAGCTGTGGGGACGGCTCTCAGCACAGTCCATCCTGGTTCTGGAGCGTGGCAGGCAGGACAGGTGTGCGTTTGACTCCTCTGTATTTGCCTCTGAGAAGTAAAGTGAGTCCCCCCAGGGCCCCCTGTCCAGCAAGCGGTGACGGCAGCTGGAGAGCCGGACAGCTGGGGCAGCAGGGACTCTCAGGGGAGGCTTAGAGGAGGGCGGGTGGGGACCAAAGGCTGGCTCATGGCTGAAGAGGTGCTCACTGGGCCCTGGGCAGGGTCACCAGATGCCAGCGCTGAAGGCAGGGTCCTGCCACCTGGCTTCCCCGTGCAGGGCCCCGCTACGACACCCGGACCATCGTCTGGATCTGCCTGACGCTCATCTCGGGCCTGGTGGTGCTTCTGCTTTTGCTCATCTGCAAGAAGAGGTGGGTAGTTCTGGCCCCCACGCCACCCTGAGCCCTTCTAGCACTGCACCTCCTACCCGTTCCAAGCCCCACTGAGCCAGTGGCCCCCAGGTGCCTGGGGCCGGCTCATGTTACAAACCCGTCACCTCATTTAATCCCATGACATTCCAACAAGGTAGAGATTCTGGCCTCATTTTGCAGGTGAGTAAATTGGGGACCAGAGAGGCTGATCTACTTGCAAAAGTCACACAGCTGATGAGTACCAGAGCTGGGACGTGAACTTAGGCCTGTCAGACGAGACGGTGCTCTCGGTCACTCTCCCCTGTGAATAGTGCTGAATGTGGGCCTAGAGTCCCAGACAGTGAGAATCAGAAGGACCATTCAATGACTGGAGAGAGCAAGGGGCCCACCAAGGTCGCCCAGTGGGGTACCCTCCCCCCGGCAGGGTTTCACGTCAACAGGGCTTTGCCGGGTGGGTGAGCTGGGCTCCAGGGCATTTTATAGATTGTAAACTGCTTTGTGACTGAACAGCTGTCACAGTTCAGCTGGGTGGAGGACAGGGACTCTCCCCTGCAGACTCCTCACAGGGCAGGGGCTGGCCTGGGCCCAGGCAGAGCAGTGACCGTCCTCCACAGGCACTGTGGCTACAGCAAGGCCTTCCAGGACTCGGACGAGGAAAAGATGCAGTACCAGAGCGGCCAGGGTGAGCGCAGGGCCCGGGTGGGGCGGGGCCGCACGGTGGGGAGGGGACAGTGCCCGCCGGAGAGGCTGAGCCAGAGACAGGTGCCAGGGCGCCACAAAGAGCCAACCCTGGACACCAGTGCTACCCCCTGCTCCTGGACCAGGGACCCCTGGAGGACACCGGGGACCCTCTCCCCAGGGAAGTAGAGAGGAGTGTGCATTTGTGTGCTCTGCATGTGACTTTAGGGGGTTCATACACTTTAGACAAGAACCCCACTATAGAGAGATCGTCAGAGAGACCTCCCCATGAATATGGGGATGCCCGTCCGCACCCCCCCGCTCCTGGGCGCTAAAGGATCAGTCCTGGTACCGGTTCCCATCAGGCCTGAACACAGCCTCCGAATCCTTCTTAACACAGACTCTGGGGAGCCCTCAGAGTTGGCAATTCCAGCAAAACTGTTTCCTTTTGGGGGTGCGGTGTACTCTTACCCCAGAACAATTTAGAAAGAGCTCAAGAATTCTACAAGTGACCCTAGAAAACAAGTGACGTGCTCAGAAGTCCCTGGAGTCCCAGACTCCAGAGCTACTCCATAAGACCCCATGGTCACTTAGCAAGAACTTGCAGGGGCTCCCAGAGATGCCCTTCACTCCACCCCAGACCCGTCCCAGGCCCAGGGAATGCCGGGGGGACTCCCTCCCGAGCCCCACTGAGGCCCTTCTCCCCGCCCCTCAGCGCCGCCCCCTGTCTTCCTGCCCCTGCACCACCCCCCGGGGAAGCTCCCGGAGCCCCAGTGCTGCGCCGAGCCGCACACCTACGAGGAGCCGGGCCGGGCAGGCCGCGGCTTCACCCGGGAGATCGAGGCCTCCAGGATCCACATTGAGAAGATCATCGGTTCCGGTGAGTCTCGGGGGTTGTGAGGGAGGGGACAGCATGGAGGGCCACCAGGAAGGGGGACCCAGGGCAGAGGGAGAGGGGCACGCGGGCGTGTGAGGCTGGGGGCATGGGGCCAGGGCCAGAGGAGGGTCCCACTGCCCTCCTGCCTACCCTCTCGGGGTCCACAGGGGAGTCCGGAGAAGTCTGCTACGGGCGACTACGGGTGCCTGGGCAGCGGGATGTGCCCGTGGCCATCAAGGCCCTCAAGTCTGGCTACACGGAGAGACAGCGTCGGGACTTCCTGAGTGAGGCCTCCATCATGGGCCAGTTCGACCACCCCAACATCATCCGCCTCGAGGGTGTCGTCACCCGTGGTAGGTGGCGGGCCAGGGCAGCCTCAGCCTGCAGGGCCCTCCTGCCCAGAGAGGGCTCGGAGTCCATCCCTGGGCCACCCTGCCCCTCCTTGCCCCCTGGATCACTCTGGGGGTGGGGTGCACTCCTAGGGTCTCTGATCAGCGCCCTGTCCCCCACAAGAGCCAGCGTCTCCCCTCCTGTCCAGGCCGCCTGGCAATGATCGTGACGGAATATATGGAGAACGGCTCTCTGGACGCCTTCCTGAGGGTGCGTGCCCTGCCCTGCCGCCCACGCGGGCTGGGGGAGGGAAGCCCTCCAAGCCCACCCCCAGTCTGCATCCACACACCTGGGGAAAGGGGAGGCAGGTCCCGGCAAACGGCCTTTCAGTCCCCATCACGACAGTCCCCTGCTCCACGGGGTCCTCCCCCAGGCTGAGGGGTGTCTCTGTGGGCTCTGATGCTGCCTGGGCCACCAGGCGGGAGGAAGTGGGGGGGTCCCCAGCTCCCGCCCTGCTGTGTATTTGCTGGTTGCTGTTAGGCTCAGGGCTGAACCTCTCTGGGCCTTCATTTCTCCTTATGCAAAATGGATGAGCAGCCCACGACCTCCCAGGCTGGCTCGGGCTTGCTGGGAGCACCTCAGACCCCAGGATGAACCTTGACCCCCAGGAGCTCTGGAAGCAGAGAGGCACATCCAGGGCTTGAGGGTCGTTCACACAGAAGGACTCCTGGCCAGGGACCAGGCGCCTGGCGGGGCGCCCCTAGCCCATGACATGCTGCGCTGTGTGCTCCACAGACCCACGATGGACAGTTCACCATCACGCAGCTGGTGGGCATGCTCAGAGGCGTGGGCGCCGGCATGCGCTACCTCTCAGACCTGGGCTACATCCACCGTGACCTGGCTGCCCGCAACGTCCTGGTGGACGGCAACCTGGTGTGCAAGGTGTCGGACTTCGGGCTCTCGCGGGTGCTGGAGGACGACCCCAATGCCGCCTACACCACCACGGTGCGTCACCTGCGCCCCTCCTCTGGGGACAAGGTGGCAGGTGGACTGCCCCAATCCAGGCCCTGGGGTTCTGCTGCATGGAGCTGGTGGAGAGCGGCAGGGTCCGGGGTGCCTTCAGTGTGGGGCAAGCCCTGTCTCCCCTTTTCCACCCCAGATTCCCACTCCGGGAGCTAGGGACAAACTGGCCTCCTCTCCTTCATCACCAGGCACCTGGGGAAACGCTGGGCTGGGGCCAGCGGTTCACTCACTCTCGTTGGCGTCTCTGAATCACAGACTCTGCACCTGTTTCTAGAGTTTGGCTGAAAACCAGCTTCGTCCCAGGGTATTGGGTGGAGTTTCGGGTTTCTGCCAAGGTGCCTTGGGACCCGCCTTAAAAGCAGATGGAGTGGCAGGGTGTGGCCCACCGTGGCCCCAGCAGGCTGCCCTTTGGACCTGGTCCCTGGGTCAGGTTTCACAGAGAGGAAGGATTCCATGACCAAAAAAATGAGGAGGAGGAGGACAGAGGACTAGAAAGGGACCAGGCGTCCCCTGGTGGCTCAGGCACTGACCTGACTGCCCGGCACTCTGCACCTGGCTCACTGTCCCCACAGGGGCTCTGAGAGGTGGGTCTCCCTGCTCAGAACACACGCTCTTGGAAGGTAGCGGCCGAGTGTCCTCCAGGAGACTCGGAAACGGCCCCCTGGCCTGGGCTAGGGCAGAAGCCTGGACCCGCCCCAGCCGGGCCTGAGCAGCCCCTCCACACTCTGTGCCCATCGCAGGGAGGGAAGATCCCCATCCGCTGGACAGCGCCCGAGGCCATCGCCTTCCGGACCTTCTCCTCGGCCAGTGACGTGTGGAGCTTCGGCGTGGTCATGTGGGAGGTGCTGGCCTACGGGGAGAGGCCCTACTGGAACATGACCAACCGGGACGTGAGTGCCGGGCCTGGCTGGCGGGGGCGCTGTGGAGCCCGCGGGAGGCCCGTCCTGACCAGCGCTGTGCCCCCAGGTCATCAGCTCGGTGGAGGAGGGGTACCGGCTGCCCGCGCCCATGGGCTGCCCCCGCGCCCTGCATCAGCTCATGCTGGACTGCTGGCAGAAGGACAGGGCCCAGCGGCCGCGATTCTCCCACATTGTCAGTGTCCTCGATGCGCTGATCCGCAGCCCCGAGAGTCTCAGGGCCACGGCCACGGCCGGCAGGTACCTCGCAGCCACCCCCACACTGTGGCGGCCCAGCTGACCTCCCAGAATTGCCCCCGCATTGCCCAACCGAATCCAGGCCCTGACCCCTGGGCCACACTCAGCCCGGCCTGGTCCCTTCCTCAGTCCTCTCCTTCCTGGGGTCCGACCTGGGGAACCCTCTGGTCACTGCTGAGCTGGGGTGGAGCCAAGGGTGGCCACAGCCCTGGCAAGCCACTGACTGAGGTCCCCGGCGCCTCAGGTGCCTGCCCCCTGCGTTTGCCAGGAGTTGCTTTGACCTCCGAGGGGGCGGTGGTGGCGGCGGCGGGGGCCTCACTGTGGGGGACTGGCTGGACTCCATCCGCATGGGCCGGTACCGGGACCACTTCGCGGCTGGCGGGTACTCCTCCCTCGGCATGGTGCTGCGCATGGATGCCCAGTGAGTGAGCCGACTGGGTCCTCGGAGGGTGGCCGGGCAGCAGATGCTGGAGGAGGGGGCGGCGCGGGGCTGGGCTTGGTGCTGTCTTCTTGGCTCCCGGCCTCCCAGGTCCCCTGGTCAGCCCTTCACTTCCTTCACAGGGATGTGCGAGCCCTGGGCATCACCCTCATGGGCCACCAGAAGAAGATCCTGGGCAGTATCCAGACCATGCGGGCCCAGCTGACCAGCACCCAGGGGCCCCGCCGGCATCTCTGACTCATGGCCACCAGCTGGACAGCATCAGCCTAGGTCACACTAGCAGTCAGAGGACGTGCTGGGCTGTCAGCAGTCGGGCGGTCCCAGGCCACCGCCCAGCGTCGCTGCTGCCCTCCTCTCAGGCACTGGAGAGGCCGAAGGCTCCACTGCAGGACCCAGAGTTACAGGGGTCAGGCACCTGGGGAGGGGTCCTTGGTGCCCAGTGTGGAGGTCACCTGCCCCTGGGGACAGAGGGCCTTCTCTCTTCCAAACCCCAGGGCCTCAATGCCACAGGGTCCAGCAGAGGTGCTGTCACTGGCTCTGTGTGTGAACATGGCCCACTGTGTTCCCACAAGGCCCTGGGCCATGTGAACAGCGTGTCCCTAGTGAGTTCCCAGCACAGACGCGCACGTGTTGTGATGCGTGTGCTCATCCGTGTGCTGGGACCACATGTGGGTGACAGTGGGTGATGTGTCATGAATGAGGAGGTGTGACAGGCATGTGAGCAGGGACCAGGGTGTGGCACTGCCCACATGCCTGGAGGCTGGAGCCAGGGGCCACTTCTGAACCTCACCAGCACCAGGCCCACCCTCCTGCTGCCTGGGAGAGCCCACCCCGCTGCATCTCAGGTCCGGGCCTCCCCTGCAGCTGGGGGCCACCTCAGCCCCCACCTGGCTTCCCCCACTGATCAACAGGAAAACAGGGTTCCCGGCCAGCCCCCTGGCCACCTTTCATGTAGGCATCACAGTAGGGAACACAGATGCCCCCAGCTGGACTTGGCTGCCTGGCCAGGGCCGGGGCGTCCACTTCCCTCTGTCTGATGCCCATCGCGCCCCCCAGGGTCTCCTCAAGTGGCAGCCCCTTGGCCAACCTCTCACTGCCCGCCCGCCCCTACCCCCTGCCCCCTGTCCCACCGGTGCCCAGGTCAGAGAACAAAGGTCCTGGCCGCTCAGCTCCAGGCCCTGCTTCCCGACCGGTGCAGATGGGCCGGAAGGGGTTCTGCTCGCCCCAGGCCCCCAGCAGCCCAGCTTCGGCGCTGGGGCCTCTGTCCTCCCAGCCTAGGGCCGGTCTCAAGGTACTGGCCCCGGGCGGTGGGAGGGGCCAGGGAAGCCCCGCCCCTCGCAATCTGACCCTCCCCCTGACGGCCCACCAGGGTATGTAAATATGTTTTCTATCGTGTCGGAATATTTTTCCTCACTCCTGACAATGCAAAAATGGTCTTCGAAGCACATAAAAAGCACCCAGGGTGAGAAAGCCCCATCCCGGGGGGGTTGGCAGGCAGGACCCAAGGAACGCCACCGGGTGCCCTGCGCTCCCCAGAGGGAGGGGCCCGCCGCGCTGCCCCTGTCCAGCCCCTCGCCATAGCCAGCACAGCTACCGCGGAGGCACCGGCACTGAGCCCCCTCTCCCTCCTGCAATAATTCGGGGCGTCTCAGCGGTCCCGGTGCCGCGGCAGCTCGCCCTGCCCTCTGCGTTCTGCTGCCCTGGGCCGAGCTGCTCTTCCTTCCTATGGAAGGGGAAACGTGGTCAGGACGGAGCCGAGAGCCCGTCTTCCGCCCACCCGCTCTCACCTGGTTTCTGCGCTCGGGATCCTGACAGTCACGTGTGGGAACACGTGGGCCTGGCACTTGCAAAAGTGTGGCCGCTGCCCCAGGAGCGGGTCCCCCTGGGTCCCAGGGGCCTGCCTCTCTGTGGTCCCCATCCTGAGTCTTGAACTTAACTACAATGAAAATAAATTCTGCCTCATCTTTGCCTGTGTCCCCACTTTTCTGTCCCTCCTGGGAGGGAAGGAGCACCCCTAGGAGAGGTGCTGCCGGGAGCACCTCTCTCTTCGGGGCTTCTCTTCTATCCCGGGAGGGAGAAAAGGTGCCCGCGGTTCACCTGGGGAGAGGTGGAGGCTCAACTTGCCTCAAGTCAGGCATGGGGCAGGGAAAGCCACCCGCTGGTGGAGGACCACATGAGGAAGGAGCAGCTCCTGGGAACAAGGACTGTGGGGCAGGAAGGGAAGGTGTGGGCTTGTCCGTAATTACATCAGGAGCCAAAGACCCACCTCCTCTCTGCAGCGGAGGGTGCAGCAGCAGCAGCAGCCAGGGTGGTGGCATGAGAGGCTGGCGGATGACAGGGGCACAGCAGAACCCAATTATGTCCTTGGAGCCAATGGCTCAGACGTTGGGGGAAGATGCTCAGCAGTCATGGGGATGAGCAAGTACGGCATCTCCTGCTAGGGCAAGATGGGAAAGTGGGAACCGGGAGAATCAATAGGGCAAAAGCACATCAGGCCAGCGCCCTGCGTGGCAGAACCCCCACCTGAAGCTCCATCTGTCCCATTTCAAGCCCACCAGGAGACCAGCTGCTTCCTAGGAGGAAAATCCTATGCCCACATCCTCTCTTCCCTTAAAAACCAGTCATCAGACTTATAGAAGACCTACTGTGTGCTGAGTGCCACTCGGGGTACAAAGCTGAGTGAGACGCAGCCCTGATCTTTAGAGCTTAGAGACTAGGTGGAGGAGCAGAGGGCACACAGGGGCCCTCACCTGGATCCACTGTGCTAAGGGCCCAGGAAATGGAGCCTATGGAGGGTCAGAAGAGGCCAGGGAGAGCCCGGACACCCAGAACTGTCACCAAGGGCTTCCTGGAGGAGGAAGCATTTTAGTTGGGCACTGTGGGATGGATGGGAGATTTGGAGGCTCATTTTCTAGGCATCCTCCTAGAATGGAGCCTCGCCCACGCAAGTTGGCTGTTTCCCCCCAGTTGTATCTGCACAGTAGACTTCCAGTAAGAACCACACTGCAGAGTTTCCCCAGAAACATGACAAGGTCATCCCCCAAATATATGGAATAATAAAGAGCCCAGAATAGCCAAGGCAATTTGGAGAAGAAAGAGGGAGAAGAGAAAGGGAGCCCCACCCTAGCTGATATCAACACGAAGCTCCAGTACTGAAGAGAGTTGGATTCTGACCCAGAAACAGATCAACAGATAAAAAGAACAGGAAATAATGCCCTGGGACAGTCCCCAATACATATGGAGTTTGGACACAACCAAGGGTGGTCCATGGTCTGGTGGATGGATGACATTGGGACAACTGAATACCGTGGAACAAGGTCAGATTGGGTCTCTGCTCACACAGCCCACAAAATAAGTTTCAGAAAAATTTACCTCTAGGATTAATGTAAATGTGTGTGTGAGTGTGTGTGTGTGTGAGTGTGTGTGTGTGTGTGTGTGGTGCTGGGGCTGGAACCCAGGTCCTCACACATGATAGGCAAGCATTCTACCACTGAGTCACATCCCCAACCCATTATAAAACTTTTGAAAGAAAATAGACCAAAAAACTTCATGATCTTAGAGTAGAAGGTAAATAAGACAAAAAGCATAAATGATAAAGAAAAACAATGACAAGCTTTATTTCATTAAAATTAAGAACGTCTATATAATGCAAAAATATGAATGTTTTTTTAAAAAGCCACAGACTTGGTGAAAACATTTGAAAACTGGATAACGGAATTGGTCTCCAAAATAATTTTTTTTAATATTTTTTTTTCTAGTTGTCGATGGACCTTTATTTTATTTATTTATATGAGGTGCTGAGGATCGAACCCAGTGCTTCACACATGCTAGGCAAGTGCTTTACCACTGAGCTACAACCTCAGCCCCAAAATAATTTCTTAAAACTCTAAAAAAGGGCTGGTTAATTCAACAGTAGAGACTTGCCTAATACGCATGAGGCCCTGGGTTCCGTCCCCAGCATCACACACACACAAAAGTATATGAAAGAGATTCTCAACTAGTAAACTTGGAAATGCAAATTAAAACAATGATCAGATAGCATGTTACACCAATCTGATTGGCAGAGTACTAGTACTGGCAAAGCACTAGTATTGATGAAGGTATGGGGGAGACATCAACATTTATAAACTGCAGGTGGGAATGAAATCGACATAAATACTTTGTGGAGCAATTTGGAAATGCTTAGTAAACATTAAAAGGAACAAGTCTATGACCCCAGCAACTCCACCACTGTGTGTGGCCCTTGAGTTAGGTTTCCCAACAGGACCTGGATGGAGATTCTAGTGCAGGTGACTTATTGAGAGACAGTTCTGAGAGCAGTGATGCATTTACCATGGGAGGAAGTGCTAAGCAATGGTGGGTTCTCATGGGAGGCTGAGGCAGGAGGATAGCAAGTTCAAGGCCAGCCCCAGCAACTTAACAAGATCCTGTCTCAAAATAAAAAGTAAAAAGGGCTGGGGTGTAACTCAGTGGTAGAGCACCCCTGGGTTCAATCCCCAATACCTCCCCCTGCCAAATAAGCGTTCTCAGTGAGAGATTAGCTTCAGTCAGACCCCAGGGGAACTGGGGAACACTCATGACACCAGAGTTGATCTTTTTTTCAGGCAAGAGCCCATATGCTGAACCCCATTTTAGTCAGTCACTGGCATGGGCTATCCCACAGGGGGCTAGAGCTTCCTGCGGGAGGAGTTTACAAGGAAGAGAGCAGCTATGAGCCCTCAGCATCAGCCCTTACTGCAGCCAGGGGTGGACCCACATGCAGATAAAAAGTACCCGGATGGGACACCAACAGCGCCTCCGGCGGTACCCCAGAGAAACACACGTCTGCAAGAGGACACGGATGCCCATGCACCTTAGCATGGGATAGAAAAGCAAAGAGACGCTATCTGCCTCTCAACAGGAAAGCAGGGAACCTAACTGCTTTATATCCAGTGGAATCTTCTACACAGTTCAAATGAGTCCGCCAGATCAATAGGCGTCAGCACAGCCGAGTCTCCGAAATGGATATGGGGTAAAAAAATAAGTGACAGAGGAATATGCACTGTGTTCTACCATGATATAATAAGCCTTTAAGATAGATGTGACGGTAGAACATACAGGTTTTAGATGTCCACCTGATAATAACTGCACAAAATGTGTGGGGCAGATAAATACCCATCTCCAGCCCTGCTAAACCTCACTGGATTTTCTTTTCTTTTTCTTTCTTTCTTTTCTTTTCTTTTCTTTTTTTTTTTTTTTTTTTTTTGGTACTGGGGATTGAACCCAGGGGCACTCGACCACTGAGCCACATCCCCAGCCCTATTTTGAACTTTATTTAGAGACAGGGTCTCACTGAGTTGGTTGCTTAGTGCCTCACCATTGCTGAGGCTGGCTTTGAACTCGTGATCCTCCTGCCTCAGCCTCCCGATCCCCTGGGATTACAGGTGTGCACCAAAGCCCCTGCCTTGACTTTCTTTTCTAAAAGCTGGAACTCCAAAATAAATATGGCAATATGTTAATGCTCACTTCATCTTGATGGTGAGCACATATGTCCTTCTTACATGATTTTCTGGGTTTTCCCCCCTGTATATTGAGAATTTTATAATTTAAAGTAATGTTTGAAAACCACAGGGAGGTGGAGGTAGACAGGAACTCTCTGTACTTCCCCCTCAATTTTTCCGTGAAGCTAAAACTTATCTTTAAAAAATAAATTTTGTTGTTGTTGTTGTTGTTGTTGTTGTTATTATTATTATTATTATTATTATTATTATTATTATTATTATTTAACCCACAAGGGAAGGGTTCCGAAGCTCAGGGGGTCAGAATAGACGCAGAGGACGGGCCGCTGTGGGGCCGCTGTCCAGGGTGCTGGACGCCAGGGCGGGGCTGGTTGCGGGGCAGCAGCTCCGCAGGACCCCTCTGCTTTCTCCAGATCCCTGCCACCAGCCCGTTCCCAGGACGCCTTCAGGAAACTCCCCACTGCTCTCCCGGCTCCCTCTCGCCCCCATAATCCGTTCCCCGCCGGGAGTCAAAGGAGTGTTTTAAAAACATAAACCAGATCATGTTGGTCCCTGATCACATCCTCCGAAAGCCGCCGACCCGGGTCTAACAGCGGCTCCAGTCCTCCGCCCGCCTGTCTGCAGCCCTCCCGCCTCCTCCGGCCGCCCCTCGGCTCGTGCCCTCCTGCATCCTTCGGACCTGGACCTGCCGGCCACAACCGCAGGAGGCTCCGCCCAGGTGCCACCGCCCCGGAGAGGCCGCCCCCCTCATGTTTCCCAGCGTTACTAAGTCAACTCATTTATCTGTTTATTGACATGTTTGCTTTCTGCCCCCCCCCCCCGCCCACACACACACACATACGCAATGCGATCTAAGGAAAAAACCAGGAGCCTCCTCTGATTTTCTCCACGCTTTAACCCCAGGATGGAGCTGCAGACATATGCTGGATGGAGGAGTAGGTGAATGTCTACTGGGCACCTCTTTGGTGACAGGCCCTGTGCTTGGCTCTGAGGATTCCAGAGTAAATAGGATAATCCTTGCCCTCAAGATACTCCCAGGCTGGAAAGAGCAGAAGAGCCAAATCACAGAACCAGAATGTTGGAATAATCCCCTTTGCTCTTATTATAGAATTAGAGGACGTTGGAGTAATCTAATTTCTCTTCCTCACCCCTCCCCCTTGTTTCTTAACTGAAGTAGCTCAACGCTGCCCAGAGAAGGACAAGGACTCCCCCATGCTCACAGAGCATCAGAGGCACAGTCTGTGTCTGAGCCCAGGTCACCTTACATTTTGCCTCAAACTTTGCTTTTTAAAGAAGCCCCTGGAGCAACTTTGGGCCTCTTCCATTCTGGCTCCTGGGTGCCCTTTAGGTATCCTTTGAAGGGACAGCAAATTCCCAGGGAAGCAGTTGAAGGGGCTGCTGAACGACTCCAGGCACAGGGCCCCTGACCCTCTCATCAGACGCAGTGTCTTCATG